GGAGGGATCAATGTCTATGTCAGAGAAGGTGGTTTAATTTCTGTTGACAAATAAACAAGGTGAAGCAACCTTCAATTGGTTAACCTTATTTGTACAGACCCCCACCACCCAGAGAGATGAATACACCTGCTATTATGTTGCTAATTTAACACTTTTGACCTAGTTTCTACCCTGCTGTGTAATACAGGGTTCTCTAGAGAAACAAAAACAGGACACTTATGATAATGATGATGATGATGATGATGATGACGGTGAGAGATAGATGGATAGAGAGATAGAACACAAAAAAATAAACATCTGATGAGTCCACAGAGCAGTACAGAGGGCTCAGTTAAACTCACTTCCATGAGACAGTTAATATACTGGCAGTCCTTCAACTCATGAGGGCTGCTGGGTGCAAATCAAGGAAGCAGACAGCTGAGTCTTCTGTAGAACAATACAGGAAGTCTGGCCACAGGCAGCAAACAGCAGGGTGGGTCACCAACAGTCAGCCAGGTGGCAGGGTCTGACAGTCCCCAGCTCAAGTAATGTACACACCAGCAGTTTGGCGAAGCAGGTCTCAAAGGACCCTCAAACTATAGTGACACGGTACACAGGATGGGTGTTACATAGGCAGTGTAGCTCCCAAGTTGAGGCAGAGAACTAGCTAGAGCAACCACACACTAGTCCGACATCAGGGAGCAAGAGACAGAAAGGTGAGGCTCGCCGAGCCATTAATCTCTTTGCCCTTCAATTAAACTGCAACCTTATTAATTCAACATGTGTTCATTGGCCAGGTTAGCGCAATAAGCCTACCTATCACAACAGCCTTTAGTGATGTAGCTCATGTATTATAGACAACTGGGAGTTTGGACTTATCCTTTTAAAGTGCACAGCATCCTTCATAGGCCACCCTAGAAGGATCTTAATTGGAAACCCCACTAAATGAGCTGGACTTTATCTTAAACTTATCTGTAACAGATTAAAGGAATTTAAATACTCCCTTGGACTTAAGGCCAAAGCACCGAAGTGTTAGAAGAAGCAGATGA